CTGGAGGAAGATCCTGATGTGGTTCTTTGTCTTCGAACTTCTGGAAGTGCCCGTTACTTGGGCAAAGGTGCGGGGCGGCACCGAGGTGAATTGGATAGGCTACTGCCTCAACGTCCATTCGTTCCAGAAAGGCATCAACCAGTCCAAGAGGACTTGGATCGTGAACTGGATTGATCACAAACTGGAGCTCGGAGGAGTGGTTGGCAGAGAGCTGAGATCCGTTCTAGGACGGCTGAGCTTTGTGGCCGGAGCACTGCGGCATGTCAGGCCTTTCCTGTCTCCCCTCTTCTCCTGGTCGTCGGCTCTCTCACCGGGGACCTTTGCACGCTTCCCTGATGCTGTTGTGATACTCCTGGAGTTTGTGAAGAAGGAGGTGCAGAGGATGCCCATGAGACCCGCAGAACCCCTGGAGCAAGATCCGGTCGACATTTTCAGGGTCGATGCTAAGGCAGCCGGGGAGGACATTGTGATTGGCGGATGGGAGACTGGACCGACGCCAGACCAGCAGCGGGCCAAATGGTTTTCGTTTCGCTTGAACAGGAGGAACGCTCCATGGGCCTACTTGAAAGGTGACCCTTTCAGGAACATCGCTACCTTGGAGTTGATCGGGGTCTTGGTGGCGGTCATGGTTCTCGGTCCGAGTTCGTCGTGGGCAAGCGGTAGCTCGGCTGCGACGTTGACGGCATTGACGGATAATTTGGCCAACACTCATGTTTTGAGAAAGTATGGGTCGAGCAAGTTTCCTCTATCCATTGTGGCGATGGAGTTGGCTGTTCAACTGGACATGCTAGGCATTGATTTACAGCTGCAATGGGTGCCTAGGGCTCAAAACCAGCCTGCAGATGACCTCACGAACGACCGGTTCGAAGAGTTCGATGAGCGCAACAGGCTGGAGGTCAATTTCGAGACCTTGCCCTTCCAGGTGATGAACACCTTGCTGAAGAAGGCCGGAGAGCTGGACGCTGAACTCCGTCTTTTCAAGACTTCGAAGGAGGCGAAGTTGGCGCAGCTGCAAGAGGCTTCGTCGGCCACCACGACCAAGGCCAAGAAGGGGGAGCTACGGTGGAAGGATCCTTGGTGAGGACTGCTGGGGACTAAAAGTCAAAAGTGAAAGGTTTAATTTGGGTCTACCGTAGAAACGTGGTGGCTTAGCGAAGGTGGGGTAGTGCAGACCTCCCTTCT